CTTCTTTTTTTAAAAATAATTTCAACCCAAGCAAGGTGGGAATGCCACTAGTACGCAAGGGGTTAATGATTGAAAGTAAGAGAAACAACTGGGTGGATTGAGGAAAGGACAAAAGATGAACGGGCTTCGAAAAATTTGAAAAAGCGATTGATGTTGCATTTAAATTTATAAAGATTGTAGTTAATAGGGAAGCAAATAAACGGAAGGAAGTTCCAGAGGTAAGAAGTGCGAGAAAAGAAACTGTTGGAGTAGAAGTAGCGGTTACATTTAACAGTTTCAACAGTAAAAGGGTGGGACCTAGATGCCAATCTAGTAGCACATTTAAATTCACGTAGTCTGGGCACCAGAAAAAAAAAGTTCGTCAGAGCAGTTGCCATGAAAATATTTGGAGAAAAGACAGAGGAATCTCATATATTCTTCGGATATCTTTCTTTATTTCTTTCTTTCTTTTTTTCTTTATTCTTTTCTTTATTTGTTTGTTTGTTTGTTTCTTTCCTTCTTTCTTTCTTTCTTTCCTCCTTTATTTCTTTCTTCCTTCCTTCCTTCTTTTGTTTGTTTGTTTCTTTCTTTCTTTCTTCGATGAGTTTATTTATGTACAATTCACTCGACCTTTAATTTCTTTATCTAAAATTTCTTTCTTTCTTTCTTTCTTCAATAAGATTATTTATAGATCATACATTCCATTTACCTTGGCTTTTTCCTTTCTTTCGTTCTTTCTTTCTTTCTTTCTTTCTTTATTTATCTATTTAGATTATTAAAATCTCATATATTTATATTATATATATTTATATCACACATGTTCATTCTTTCTATCATTAAATAAGAAGTTCTTCATTTCTTTCTTTTTTCATTAAGATTAATTATATATCATATATAGTCAATTAGCCGTTTCTTTCTTTCTTTCTTCGAATTATATGATATTTCTTTCTTCAGTAAGATTATTCTCATCATATATGTAACTGACCTTGTCTTTTTCTTCCTTCCTTCCTTTCATTCTTTCTTTCTTTCTTCGGATAATTTATGTCATATATTCATATCACATATATTGATATCTCATCACAAATATTCTCTCTCTCTCTCTCTAAAAAAGATGCTCTTTCTTTTTTTCCTTCCTTCTCTTTTTCTTTAGTAAGTTTATTATATGTTCCATTGACCTTGTCATTTTTATTTCTTTCTTTCTTTCTTCAGGTTATTTATATCTCATATGTTCAGTCATTTTTCCCTAAACAATATGTTCTTTCTTTCTTTAGATTATTTATATAGCATATATTCCGTTGGCCGTTTGTTTGTTTGTTTGTTTGTTTCTTTCTTTCTTTCTTTCTTTCTTTCTTTATTAAGGTTAATTATATATTATATATTTAATTGGCCGTTTCTTTCTTTTTTTTTCTTTCTTCAAATAAGAAGTTTTTCTTTCTTTCTTCATTAAGAGTATTTATATATCATTTATTCCATTGGCAGTTTCTTTCTATCGTTCTTTCTTTCATTTTCTTTCTTTCTTTATTTAGATTATTTATATATTATATATTTCATTGGCCGTTTCCTTCATTCGTTCTTTCTTTCATTCTTTATTTTGTTCTTTAAATAAAAAGTTTTTCTATCTTTCTTTCGTTCTTTTCTTTCTTTCTTTCTTTTTTTCTTTCTTTCTTTCTTTCTTTCTTTCTTTCTTTTGTTCTTTAAACAAAAATGTTTACTTTCTTTCTTTCTTTCTTTCTTTCTTTCTTTATATTTGAAAATCGCCGTATAATACACATCCTGAATGTCTCTATGCACTATCTGTAGATTACTTTCCGTTTTTATGAATCCGTAAAGCTCTCATATTTGTTCGTGAAGAATACGAGGATCAGATACAGAAGTGAAAATGAAAATTTGCATTATAAATGAGCGTAATATTTTAACATTTTTTTTTCATTATCAAACCAGCTGATATTTCCAGCAGTTCCACAAAAACCGGTTCCTCATAAATCATCTACAACTGTGTTCGATTCTTTCACGGGTTTTTAATAAATACGCACCCCATATTTACGACGCGGAAATAATCATCTGTGGCATAAATTAATTAATTCCAGCATCTTGTCTTTGTTTTCTCTATAGATTTTATTTAATCCTATTTTTTAAAAAATCATTTCAACCCAAACAAAGTGGGAATGCCACTAGTACACAGGGGGTTAAAGAGAGTGAAAGTAAGAGAAAAGATTGGGTGGAATGAGGAAAGGACAAAAGATGAACGGGATTCAAAAAGATAGAAAATGGCGATAGAAATGGCGATTTAAATTTTTGAAGATTATAGTTATCAGGGAAGAAAATAAAAGCAAGGGACTTCCACAAACAGGAAGCGCGAGAAAAGAAACTATTGAGGTAGAAGTGGCGGTTACATTTAACAGTTTCAACAGTAAAAGGGTGGGACCTAGATGCCAATCTAGTAGCATATTTAAATTCACGTAGTCTGGGCACAAGGGAAAAAAACTGTCAGAGCAGTTGCCAGGAAAATATGTGTAGAAAAGACAGAGGAATCTCATATATTCATCGTGTTGTGGATTTCTGTCTGTCTTTCTTTCTTTCTTTCTTTCTTCAGAAAGATTATTTATATATCATATATTCCATTTACCTTTTTTTTATTACAACGTTTCGGCCGTTGTACGCTCCGGCCTTCTTCATGTGGTTGGAATGTCCTCAAGGACACATGGCACAGTGAATAAAGGCGTTGGTTAGATCCAGTGACATGACTCAAAGAGTGTGAGTTCAATACCCGGTTAAGGCAGTGGAGAAATTTCAGAGGGAAATTAACAGGAGATAACAGATAACTGACATCCATTAAACATGGCACGTGGAACTAGAACAGTCTACCTCCGTGAGCGAAATAAAGGGTTCAGTTCGACCTTCCAACCACCTGAAGAAGGCCGGAGCGTACAACGGCCGAAACGTTGTAATAAATATGGAGACAAAGATGAGGACATTAGTCCGAATAATGTAAATAATGTAAATGTAAACGTGTTTGAGGCAACAGAGATGCGGTTCCACAGAAAGATGCTGAGAATACCATGGACTGAACATCTGGGCAACGAGGAAGTTTTAAGGAAATTGAGAACAAGAAGGAAACTTAAAATGTCTGTTGGAATACTAGAACGAGTTATCGTTATATATATTATTTACATGTAGGGCGCCTCGAGGTGATGTAATGGTTAGCAAGCGTGTCTCGCTAGAACAATTACGACTAAGTAGTGAGTTCGATCCTCACTTGGTGCCCCTTACTTTCGGCCTTGTGCCACATCCAAGCTACGCTTGGAAAATCGGTATATGTTTTTACATATAGATTATTGTCTTCATCTATTTGTTGTTATGACAATGTTTAAACCGTGGTACATCCCGTCTTTCATTATGCGCTTGTCAATTCGGTTAACCTTCAGGGAATTTTCTATCTGAATACTTAATTAATCTATGATGTTAAACTGTTCTCGTTCCGTCTATAGAGATACATTGTCTAGTTTTTGTTTAGTATTGCTCAGTTATTGCTAGCACCCTATTTTCTTCTTTTGAGATGATAGGATAGATAAATTTATAATATATTTCAGTGAAAATTCTATTTTCCAAAATTAAAGTTCATATAAATAAAAGAAAAAAAGGACTCAGTTTAAACTGACGCCAGGAGAATATTACCAAAATTATTCGATGAGACGTTATGATACAATCTGAATCATCGTTTGAATGTCTTTTTATTCGTTCATTTTAACGCCTCCAAAACTAAATTTCTCTCCATTAATCATCTGAGAGACCCCTTTCTGCCTTCCATCAACATGGCTGCTGCTAACCTCTTTGCTTCTTCCTGTTCTCAGCTGACATGAAGTAGAAAGACTATATTGAATCCATTCTTAGCCAGCTGCTAAGAAAGTTGGTTCACTGTGACATGCGAGACAATTTTTCTATTCAGAATCTATCTTACATATCTATGTGATTATTGTGCCATCTTGGTCTAATGTTTTCGGCTGACATGAAGTGAAGAAAATATATTAAATCCATTCCTAGGTTAGCTGCTAAGAAAGATAATTCACTGTGCCATGCGAGACAATTTTACACTCCAGAATCTATCTTTCATATCTATAAAGTCTACCATTCGTCCATGTTTAGAATATTGCAGTCACATATGGTCCGGTTCCCCTGCTATTTACCTTGAGCTCCTTGATAAGATTCAAAGAAGAATCAGCAATATTATCAGTCCTGATCTGGCAGCTCGGCTTCAGTAACATTCCAACCGCCGTAAGGTTGCCTCTGTGTCTTTTCTCTAAATATTTTCATGGCAATTATTCTGATGATCTCTTCGCTAGGGTGTCTAGACCTTTTTAATTTAAGCGTAGTACCAGACTGGAAACGGTCTCATCAACTTACAATTGAGCTGGCTAGATTTAACCGTAAATGCTATCAGTTTCTTCTCTCGTACTTCTTGCTTCTGGCACCATGCTTTCTAGACAACTTTAATCTGGAAAAATGTAAATGAAATGTCAGTCGTTATCTACTGTTCCTACGAAAACTCTTTTCGTTTCCCGCTCATTATTAATGTTTTTCTTCCTAAATATTTCACACCCAGCAATCCCTGGTGTCGTTGCGGCACAACTGCCTTGTTTAGGGGGAAAACGATTGAAAACGTTTCTTACAATTAATGATTAATTAAAAGTGCACTAAAATGCAAGTAGAATTAAGCATTTCTTCGCGAAACATTCAAGTTCGCTTCTTTAGTGCCATAACCAGACAATGAATATTTTCTAAGTTTGTAAGTTGCGTTACTGATGAATCTTGGAAAGGACAGGCTGGAACATCTGTAGTTATGTTTGTCTTTAAGAAAAATACACCGTAGTAAAACTGTAATATAAAACTATGTGGGAAGCGGATGTCGGGAAAAGAGAGGAAAAACTAAAGAATAAACAAAAACAGCGGATTGTTCCTATTTTTGTTTTTCCCTTTTGTCATTTTTCTTCACTTTCTATCTAGTTGAATTTTACTTCTTTTCAATGATTCTTTTTCATTCTTTCTTTCTTTCTTTCTTCCTTTCTTTTTTTCTTTCTCAATAGTTCTCTCTGTCTTCGTTTTGTCCAACGATTGATATTTTCTTTTAAACTCTTGTTTCTCCTTTTCCTTCCTTCAACGATTTATTTATTTATTTATATTCCCTAAGTTCATTTTTTCTTCATTATTCTCAATGCCATTTCTTTCTTTCTTTCTTTCTTTCTTTCTTTCTTGTTCCCAAGTCCATTTTTGTTTCTTTCTTATTTGCCATGTTATTTATATCTTCTTTATTTCTTTTATATCCATCAAGGTCTTTCTTTCTTTCTTTCTTTCTTTCTTACCATAGTTCATTCAGCTTTTCCTTTCTGATAAACTTTTCAGTTTATCTCCCTAACTCCTATTCTTTCTTTCTTTCTTTCTTTCTTTCTTTCTATTCCCTAAATTCATTTTTCTTCATTATTTTCAATGTAATTTCTTTCTTTCTTCTTTCTTTCCTTCTTCTTTCTTTCTTTCTTTCTTTCTTTCTTTCTTTCTTTCTTTCTTTCTTTTCAATATTTTCAGGCTTTGGTACTCTCCCTTTCTTCTTCTCTTCTTTTCCGATCACCTACTGCTACGCTTACCTCCACCCCGGCAAAAACAAAAGAATGAACAGAAAAAAAAAACTGACTAAACCTGTATCGCCATTAATATTTACACCAGTAGAATCACAAAAAAAGTCTAAGCACAAGTTACTTTTGCTCTCCTGCTAAGCTGGTCTCTGCAACATTTCGAAATCATTCCACTCGTCGTTCTCGTTCGGCTCTCTCTCACTCTCTCGCTCCCCCTCTCTCTCTCTCTCTCTCTCTCTCTCTCTCTCTATATATATATATATATATATATATATATATATATATATATATCTTTTGCTATTTTTTATTTTATTTGATCCTCGGGGAAAATATCGACGCATAGACGGCCCTCGAAGAGACTACTCAGATATGCATCGAAACCTTGTCTATACTTACATTGCAAATTACTCGGCAAGAGAAGAAGCGATGGGAAAAGAATTGATAGAAACGACTTGCAAAAACAAAGGGTAAAGATAGAAAGAGGGAAAACTGGAAGACCTTGTCGGTTGATATGAAATGCCATAGAAAGTCAAAACGGGAATTGCATCATATAGATTTGCGCGCGCTATCAATAATAATAATATGTCACATAGGAAGAAAATGAGTAGCGACCGACACCGAGATTCGAGCGTGACACTCAGGACTTATGAATATATGTTTTCTGCCAGGTGTGTAAAAAGCGGTGTCAGGCTACTGACTGCAGTGATTATTGAATGGAAATATCCAGTCGGATTAGTGTGAATTATTGTGCGTTGATGATATTGGTTTGATTTAGGATTTATGGCCGTTAAGCTGAGCCATGCTACTAACAAGGTATTTACTGAAATTGTTAATAAGCTTTGGTTGACTTTTACTTCTTTGTTCTTGTTAAGTATTAAATTGTGGTTGTCTTATTTTAACATTGAAGTCTTGAGTTATAATTAATTATTAATGACTACCGTACATCAAATAATAATAATAATAATAATAATTAAGTGCAATACAGTTTCAACATTCTTAATGGGATCATAGCTGATATGCGAATGGATGTCAAAACGAGTAAACATCTCACTTGCCACTGCACGTATCATCATAAGGCCGATGATGATCGGCTGTATGTGCCCAGATCCGAAGGAGGCAGAGGATTAGTTCAACTAGAGTTGTCATACAAAACCACAACAATAGGTCTTCAAAGCTACCAGAGGACAGGATGATGATCAAAGATCATGAAAGATATAAGAAACTTTATTCAGTAATAAAGGAAGCGAAAAATTCAAAAGAGAATATCAAGTGAGTAAAGAAGTGCAAATAAACAATGATACACCTTCTGCAGCGGCAAAAACACCTAAAAAAAGAAAGTGAAGGCACTTGCAATACACCAAATGCAGAATCGATGGCAAGATAAGCCTCTTCAAAGTCAATACTCTGCTGGTACCAAACAAACCGATGTAGACAAGCCATCAGTGTTTGCGTAGTGCAGGTTTAAAAGCTGAAACTGAAGGTTTTATTCTTCCTACTCAGGACCAAGGCTTGCTAACTAGAAATTATCAAGCACAGATACTGAAAAACAGTGTTAACCCGAAATGCAGATTCTGTGATAAATACTGGAAAACAATTGCCATCTTGTATCAGGATGCGCGGTGTTAACCCTCATTGAATATAAAACCCCGCGTGATAGAGCGCGCCAATATCTGCACTAGAAAATATGCAACTTTTAGGGGAAGGAAACTGTAAGAAGTTGGTATGAACATCATCCAGACCTGATTACCGATATAGGACCGTTAATAATTTTATGGGACGTTATAACATATGAATACATAACAATCAAAGCTAATCGCCCAGACTTTGCGATCGAAGTCGACAAAAACAGAATGTGATTTCTTATTGACATGGCTGTCCCTGCAGATTTCAATGTGTCTTTGAAGATCTTTAAAACAAACTATCAAAATACAAAGATCTTGAAATGGAAATCTCAAAAATAGATCACACGAGGACATCAATAATTCCAACAGTAGCTGGAGATCTTGTATTGTTTGGAAGAGGTTCTGATAGATTCACTGTAGGGATTTCTGAGAGATCATGCCTTAAAAAAATAGAAAAAAAAGATTTACTCACAAGTACAGCTCACATATTACGAAGACCTTTATCTATGTAAAATGTAGGCGTTCTCATTTTTTTTTTTTTACAAAATATTATCAGTGGAATATTTCAAGACGCCATTTGCTAGGAACACAGAGAGCATCACAGTTTAGCAAGGATTTATTTTCCATTTTAAAGAATGCAAACATCCAAGTTCAGATTATCCTCGGAAAGCACATATCTTCTGACTTTCGTATCCGAAATGTAAACAAAGCAATTTCTAAAGATTTAATGGATTTCTTTTGAATGCACCATTTTTATTATTTCAAACGTTACTTTTAGTGCATACACCTGTTTGAAATAGACGCGCAGTTTGTATTTTAAACACTGTGTATTACGTCTATGTGTAACATGGTGAAGTGTCCTTTTATCAGACATAGAGTCTTGCAGCAGCCACCCTCTTGACCCAGATCAGCCACTTTCTCGACCCAGAGCAGCACTACCTCTTTAAGGTAGTTGATGCGTTGAATCTGAGACCCTCACCAACAAATCCGGGACTTCTTAGAACAATGACAGCTCACACATTACGAAGAGTTTTATCTATGTAAAATGTAGGAGTTCTCATTTTTTTTTTTTTTTTGCAAAATATTATCAGTGGAATATTTCAAGACGCCATTTCTGAACCTAGGTCTCTGGTTTGGACCCGGAAGGAAATATGTATACGATGGAAATCAAAGGAAAATAATAATAATAATAATAATAATAATAATAGCAGTACTCGTTGAAGTAGTAGTAAAATGCACTAAATTTAATGAATGAATGCAAAACCAAAACCATTACTGCTTAAAGAAGAAGGTTCAGGGAGATTTGTAGAATTTCTCTATGCAAGCTGACAGGGAGCTGCTCCACTGGAACAAACTGGTAAGTCCCAGACAGAGGCCCGGATGTAGATTTTCATAAACAGAGATGAATGGATTATTGGTTTTTCTATCACACAACAAAATAAAATGAAATGCGGAAGAAATATTCAGACATTGACATGGAGATGACAATTCTACCCATCATTATCGGTGAGCAGTAAGTAGTCGCGAAAAAAAATTATCCAGTGTTTGGAAGAACTGAAAAAGAAGTGAAACCAGTCAAGTGACATTATCGCTAAAATCTAGAATTCTGATGAGGGCGTTAAAATGTTGTGTCAGCTTGTCATATGATCTTCACTGAATGTCTTGAAATATACTGAACTGGTGTGAAAACAGAATTCGTACATCTGCTAAATGTAATGCGTGTATATAATAATAATAATAATAATAATAATAATAATAATCAAAAGGGAAACCTTAGAGGATTCATTTTGGTTATAATTTATTTCGTGAATATCTATATATTCATCTCTTATTCATCTCTTAGTAATTACATAAAAGTAAGAGATTTCGATCTGAAGAGATGAATCTATAGAGATATTCACGAAATAAATTTTAACCGAAATGAATCTTTAAGGTTTTCTTCGTGATTATTATTTTTATGAACCTCTGTAGTTTATATTGAGCTCTCCCTGGATTAACCTCCTCCTTGGAATTATCTATACCAGTCACAAATTGGTAATATATATATATATATATATATATAATCTACAGTCCTTTAGCATTTATTTTTAAAACCAGTGCTCGATACACAGTAGAGTATAATATTATAATATTATTATTTAAAAACATGTATTTATCGCGACACAGAAATCAGAAAATTTTAATTTCTACCCGTCGATACAAGGAAGCCAGTATCGACAGGCAGAAATTACAAACCCACACCTTACCCATAACCAATATTTACACTTTGCCATATTAAAATTAGATTTGTATCTTTCATTGATTCATCAAAAAAAAGGCAGCAACCTTTTAAAACTCTGAATCTCTTTCCCCCTCTAACTTAAAATATATGATATATATTTAGCTTAAAAAGTAAATAATTTTTTGTAAGTTATTCGACATCATTGAGAATGGAGCAAAAACTTTAATTTTAACTTTAATTTTACAGTTTCATTTTTAGTTCCGAAACATGGTAATTTCTCTGTCACGATAAATATAAATTTTTTAAATAATAATAATAATAATAATAATAATAATAATGATAATATATATATATATATATATATATATATATAATTATTATTTATAAAAAAATGATAACATAAGTATGTTATAAAATCACTACAAAATAGCCATTTTGTTTCAACACACTCGGTGTCTTATCAAGTGATGATGTTGAAGATAAAATAAATGGTTTTAAAAGTTTCAGATTAATTAACAATCCTACACTAGGGGGAAACATTGTTACAAAAGCAAGAATAACCAATCAAAAACCAAATATAGAAAGATTCAAAAGCTTGACAACGAAATCATGTTATAATAGCTATTCAGATCTTTAAAATACGTGTAATATTAAAAATAATTTATACTAACCAATAATTATAAAATTATATGATAAAATTTAATATTAAAATTAAAAACTGGCAATTTTAAAATCCAAATTTAATCACTATTAAGTATTAAAAACTACAAAATTATTGAGAAAAGAAAAAATATATATGTTTATTCAATTTATTTCTTCGAAACAAAATGGCTATTTTTGTAGTGATTTTATAACATACTTATTTTTTTATAAATAATAATTACATCTGCTCTACTTTGTATTGAGCACTCTTTTAAGAATAGTAATTGTTGGTTATTGAATTCATTCCGTATATACCAATTATATACTTGGGTATATATATATATATATATATATATATATATATATATATATATATATTATAATTTCAATAGAATATAAATTAAGCAACTTCTAAGTGAGTATGATAGACATGCAACTTTAAGAGAGGGAACTCAATGCCAGATTAAATGGCAGAGAGTTAACATCTAAATAAATTCGCGGTGGAAAGAGCTCGACAACAGCTAACAGTTTCATTCGTAGTTGGGAATTGTTATTTGTGAATGTGAACATTATATCATGAA